ACATGCTGACTCAGATTTTGGTAATTTTGAAAAGAGGTGTATGAATTGTGGAATAATACAATAGAATCATAGGATAGTCCTGGTTTGGATGAACCTTAAAGATCATCTAGTTCCAACCCCCTGCCATGGGTAGGGGCACCTTTCACTAGACCAGGTTGTTTAGACAGCTCTTCATTCACAGACCTAGATTTACTCAAGATTTTGGTTTATAGTGAGAAATGTCCATGCTACATTGTGTCAGTTATTCCTATAATTTCCCAGTGACAGCTCCTGATGAGAAATATATTTCTATGTTTTGCTGTGTTTGCAAAGCAGCACAACTTTGGAGGCCCTAAGTACGTGATTATCAGGGCTATATCAGTTTCTCTTTCACCTGCCTGACTGCTGGCATTTAATTTAATGGTTGGCTTTGGTGTTTTGTTCTTTGATGTCTGTTGCTGTTGTTGCCTCCAAGTGACTTCAGCTGATTTCTCCTGGCTCCCTGTTCATTATCTGGTCACAAGCTCCTGCATGCACTGTTTTTTGGATGGGGAAGGGAACCTTCATTTCAGCTACTGCAGCTGGGTTTTGTAGAAAATGCAGTAGAGAAGGAAGATGGACAAGAGGAGGTAGGATGGCAAACCTCAAAATACTGGCACTTTGCTATAACAAAACTAACAAAATTTGTGTTAGCTTTTGAAAAATTACAATTGCACAGCCATTGTCTAACAGAATCTTGAAGGATGTAATTAGAGCAATTTTCATCTTCAAATTTATTCTTCTCTGTGAGATTTTTGAATTTGATTTTGCTCACTTTTTAGTGCATATGTGCAAGTGTTATGCAAAATAATAGGAGATTTTAATGTTTTGCTTCTGGGGAGCAATAGCAAAGGTTTAACCTGGTGTCTGAATTTGCTATGTCTGTTTTTCTTCTATTGCTTGTTTTTGAATTTGCATTTTTTCCTAAGAGAAAACAATTTGCTGAAAAACTAAGTGAATTCATATGAATGCTTTTACTAATGACAGGAGAAAAAAACGTGGGCTGGGAGTCACTCTTCTTACTTTATAAATATGCTTATTTTTCTGGACTGGCATTAAAACTTGAAAATGATTCAGATATGCTCTTAAGAGTCAAATTCCCCTTTAGTAGAGTAGCTCAAGAATAGATCATGTGTAAAAACTCAAGATGGTTTACATTTTATACTAATATCTTTGCCATTTTTAATGCAGACATCTATGTGGGATGTCTGCCACATGTATTACCTCAAATCAGTTGGTGTCCACATGGTGAGGACTAAGTGAACCATGTTACAATGCAGAAAGAAATAGATAAGTTAAAATATTTTTAGAAGTTTGGATGTCCATTGGCTGACATTCCTGTAAAAAGGTATGCATCTAACTTGACAGATGGTGCTACTCTCTGGTTTTAAGGTGGTGAAAAAGTACTTTGATTGAGCCATGCTACTGCAGGTAAGGCTTGTACCCATCTCCTACTTTATTTACAGGGGTTTTTTTAGATATTAATAATTTTACTGTACAAAACCTGCAGTTATATGGGTGTGGAGAATTGGACTGAGTGTAATCACATTCAGTAAAGTTAAGTAATGAGAACCAAACACAGCTAACATGCTGTTCTGGGGTAGACAGAAGAAAAGATACAATAAACATATTTTATTTAACACATGAGTACATTAAAATTTAGTATTGCTTTTCACTGCAGAAATTCTAGGGCCTGGTAGTAGTATTTAGGGCTATACTGTAACCATTTAATGCTATAATATTGTGTATATTTCTTTTACCTTAGCGTAAGAAAAATCTTCGTTTATCAATGATGTGTCTAAATGATAGTTAATGAAGTTTATAAGTCTTGGAGAAATAACAGGTTAATATTCTCATGCTTAGATAGGTGTGCCCATAAAAAGAACTTCCATGGCTTTCTTTCTGCCTTTAGCCAAAATGATATCTCTGTGTTGTGTTATTTTCCTTTCAGTAATTCCTGATGCAGGAATAATAGGATAAACATGAGAGAGAATGCTGATCAAAAACCTGTACCTCTTAACAGGGCTTAGCTTTGTGGGGTCTGTTTCTTTGTTTAACCCCAGCATCATGAAGAACATGAAATCACAGGTTTGGAGATTAGTTACTCAAAGAGATCTTCCTGTGTTGCAGAAGTGCCTTTGCAGGTCTCCAGTACTTTATCTTGGTCCAAGGTACAATATCTCAGTATCCCAGTGGCATCTCAGATCATTCCTGGAGTCACTGTCATTACCACTGTATTCTTGTTCTTCTGTAGAGAATTAATTCAAAGTGAAAATTAAGGATAATTGTTGGATGTTGTATGGTTTTAGAAAGGATTTTGCATCTTTTGTGCTCAGTTAGTTGGCTGGCTGGCTGGTTGGTTGTTTAAAATATGCATTTTTAAACTGACTGTTGACTAAAAAACCATTTTAAAATAGCAGATCAATCTGTAGTGCCTTTACTTGAAGAAGAATTCCTTAAATTTCTCAGGAGTTACCTTTCACCCACCTGGATCCCATGCTGTATCTTAGGAAGAGTCTATTCACTCACTAAGACAGTGATTTTTTTCTACATATGAAAAGCCAGTGAGCAGAATGCAGTCCTGCTTACTACACCTGAAGTCTGCTGCAGCGTTTCATACAGCCTGTCTCTAGCAAGCAGTGGTTGTGTTCATATCTGATGACATTTAGGGCTGATTTCCACCAATACACAAGCCAGATTCCATGTCTAACATATCAGATTCCAGAGAAGGAAATTCTTTAACATTCTAGAAAAGCTACGTGTTGTTCATTCTTGCAGTTCTCCAGATCCCTAAGGCCTCCATAACCGAATTTTCTCTGAAGGAGAATGCCAGTGGAACATCTGTAAACTTTTCTGTGTGGCCTGAATAGCTTGAGTGTAGATACCTGACAAATCTTTCAGCATTTTTGCTAGCTGCAGTTACTTTCAGTGGAGTTGAGACATTTGTTTACACAGATTAATAATCTCTGAAGAAAAAAGATGACTGTTAGAAGAATGCTGAGCAGCAAGTGCCAGGCTGATGTTCTGTTGTTGGTGTTCTCTCTGAAGCTGGAGAGGAATGCAAGCAGCCTTGTTACCTGTCCTGGGGAGAACAGAGCAGCTGGAAACCAGAGCCTGATCCATTGTGCTCTCTTGACTCCCTTCCCAGACAGTTCCTTTAAAGCCTAGCAAACATTAAGTATCCCTTAAGATTGCAAATAAAGAAGTTATGCTTTATTCACTGCTCAGAGCAGTGCTGCTCTTTATCTCCTGTGTATTTGCTTTTAAAAACTTTGTTGTGGCTAAACAAAGATAGCATGGCTGAATTCTGTCCCCTGTTCTAGTGCTGAGTTGCTAATGCTGTCCCAGATGACAGCACCTCTGTTTCTTCCTGTGGTTGTCTTCTTCAAGTGCAACCATCAGAATACCATCAACAGGAGTCAAGAGCATTAGGTAAGTGTGTGCTTGCAGAGGAGTTCTGAAAGGCCAAAGTGGACAAGATTTTATTCCATAAATAGATTGGAATATGTGTCTGTAACAAGTCAACTCTAATCTGATTTTTCTGTCTGGGAGATGTCTTCAATTTGAATTAACTCTCTCTCAATCTGGGAGGAGTGGTTTTGTCCTTAAAAATGCTCCTCAATATTTTCATAATCTTCCATACTTGTACTGAGTAGAGAAGCCCAAGTAACTACTGATTGCTTTGCTTCAAGTTCATGCACACTTCTATTACCTCCAAACAGGAGTCTGCTAGTTGTAAAAATGCTAATCAAGTCCACTCAGAATAGGGAAGATGAACTACTCAGTCTAACAGAGGGAAGGGATTTTTTTTCTTACCTGTCCATCTGTTTTTTCTGTTGGACAAACACATCTTGGTAGACAAGCACGTATCACTGTGCTTTTCAGAGTACAGTGTGCCAGTTGTCCATCTTTGTAGCTGTTCCTACCATCCTGTTTGTGTTTCTGTGCTTTGACTGCACTGTGTTAAAAAATGTAAGTATTGGTGCTTTGTTTGAACTCTGGATTTCAATCAGGTGCACTTAACCTTCCATTTTGGAAACAATTTTTTTTTTTCCATTTCTGTAATATTGTAACTATAAAGAAACCAGAGGAAGGAAGGGTTTCAAATGCAGTGCTGTGGGAAGTCTGCTATAGCCATAGTACTGATGGCTATCCAGGGCAAACGAACCAACTTGTCAGGGCAAAACCTGACTTATCCACCAGAGAGGAAAGGGGGGGAAGAGGAAAAAAACCAAAACTTAACAAACAAAGAAAAACCCCAAAACAAACAAAAACCCCAAAGCAACCAACCAAAACAAAAAAAAAATCCTAGCTAAGATCACAACTCTAATGATCCCAAAAACTTTTGAGACTTGCAAAGCCCATACCTGAAATTCAATTATGATTTGAGAAGTGGGTTTTTTTAAAGTAACAGAAAAGCCCATGCTTCTTGTTTCCTGAGGATTATTTACAAAATATGCCTAATTTAAATTATCATGTGTTGAAAAATCCCAGAATCCAGCTCTCCAAATTTGTTCTGAGATTGGAGAGTCAAACTGCACAATCTCCTTCAGCAGCATTCCTGAAACTGCTGAATGTACTCATTGTAAACTGGTGCCCTCCTATGGGATAGAAAGATATAATTCAGTGATATGTATCAATTATCACAAGGGGAAATATATCCAGGCATCAGCTGTCTTGGCTCCACAGGGTTACTGGGGGAGGTGGGAAATAATTTTCCTTTCAGACACAGGGTAAAATTGCAGTCTCCTAAGACTGGTAGAGAGTGGATTTACCAGTGTACTATCACTTCTTTTATTCTTTCAAGTTGCAATCACTTAAGTAATTTTGTTTGATCCATCTAGCTAAAGTTTTATTTAGTTACAGCTTGGAAGTAAGGGGATTCTTTGTTTCTTTCCATTTTTGCTTGGGGGTATTGGGATTTGGGATTGTACTGCTGCAGTTCTTTCAGGATGTGGGTTGTTCTTTGGGATGTTTTTCAGATGAAGCAGATCAAAATGGACAACAAGACATGCCAGCGTGGATCAGGAAGGGGACATCCTGAATCAAGAAGCCACAAAGTATGTAAAACAATGTGCTTCAGATTAGACTTTTCTAAATGCCCTTCATCACAGCAGTGCTGAATGTTCTCTCTGGCAGTTCATATTAAGCTGTCTTTGAAATTCAAGTGATGTACATGATCCTTAAATATGGGCCAGTTGGGTACATCAGTGCTGACTGTTCATAAAACCCAAAGCAAACATATAATTCATCTTTGATTAGTTTTTGTCAAGTTACAGAAAACAGCAAGTTACCTGTAGAGCAGGAGAATAAATCCACAGACTTCACCAAATTTCCATTTGTAGAATTTTCTGGACAGGGCCAAATAATCCGAATAATCAAAGCACTAATTTATTTTCTCTCAGCATGTTCATTTTTTTCATTACAGATATACAGGAAGTTATTTTCTGTGTTTTTAAGTACAAGAGATGATAGCCAGAAAAGGTCTGAAACACATAGTTTTGAACAATTTTCCAATTTTTCTATGTCAAGAGTTAATGAAATTTATTATTTCAATTATTCCATTTTATATAAGATACAGGTAAAGTAGACATTTTTGTATACTAGAAATCATGGAAAAAGAAAGAGATACTGGATGCAAGAAATGTATTTTGTAATAATGTATAGGATTACAAATTATAGCTGTATTACTAAAAAAAAAAAAAATTACAGGCTGCAAAGACAAAAATACAAACCCACAAGTCCAGAAGTATCATAGATGTTCTCTGTACTTACTATTGTATACAGTTTCAAGGGAAGAGTTTGCCTAATCCCAGCCTGCTAAAATATTCATAATCCACACAAAATGCAACAATTAAAAGGCAACACAGAGCATTCATGGAGGGCCCCCTCCACAATAATAATAATAATAATCACCAGAAGTCAAATTTGCTGCCCTGCCTGCAGATAAAAGCATGTATAACATGACTATAATTCAGAATATGAAGAAATAAGAAGTGTTATGGCACAGGGACTTCTCTATTTGCCCCTCAATTTCATGGAGCTATGTTGTTACCTCCTTACAGTGTAGGCTGGAGGTGCTCATCTCTCTTAAAATATTGTATGCCGCTCCAAACACAGTGACTATTCAAATCTACAGGTTGCAATACAAATGGTGGTTTTTTCCAGCATTGTTTATATGTCCACATCTATAAAAACTGTATAATTATTGAGTCGACTTTGTTGCCAAAGATATTTATTGCATCACGTTCATTCCTTTGCCCATTCAGGGTATTTAACATTCATATTTTAGCATGTGCGGTTTGTGGATGGAGGTGAATTCAAGAAATACCCCATGGTCTGGCTTTTTAAAGTGAGCTTTAACTGATGTGCTGCTTACAAGCTTCAGCTAAGGGAGTTATAGATCTTCATCCTACTGCCTTGATGATACTGTGCATCAATGGTTTTTCTGTGTGTTTCACACCCTCAGTAAACATCTGGATTCAAAGCAAAGCCCAAATCTTCTGGATCCCCAGCTGCGAAGATATTCTCTGTAACCTGTGCCTAGAATGCACTCGAGCAGTAGCCTCAGGGAAAGGACAGTCACATGCAAGGAAACAATTGCAGATTGCTTGAGCAGCACAGCTGGAGGGGAAGACTTTGAACTCTCGGTGAAAGCGGCACGTCTCTGAGTGCCCTAGCCTGGGCGTGTACACTCTGCAAGGGCGTTTCAATGATTTCAGTTGGTGTGGCGAGTTCTGAATGAAGCCGCTCAGCTGGAGTGGTTCGGGTTTAGGTCGGATTTTCAGGCGGGTCCGTTGCAAATAAAAGTTAGCAAGCGTTTCCAGGCGTGCTGTACAGCCAGGCTGTAGATGAGCGAGGGAGGGAGCGAGGAGCCGCAGGGTTCGCTGCTGTCCCCTTGCCG